AGATGCCCTCCCAAATGTTACTCTGTGGCGCACTTCTGCCAAAAACAAGCACTGACTCGGGCTCTAGTAGGCCTGCTTTCCTCAAGATACTTTCGTGAGTGGCCTGCGCGATGTCGCAGGCATTCACATCCCCCATCCCTAAGACCCGGAAACAAGCACGACGAGGGACTTTGGGATCCAAACTCTGCGCCGCCACGACCGCGGGGTCGACACGTCGACCCACACTGTTGTACCTGATCCAGGAGTCGGGCAAACTGAGGGTGTAATAGAAGTTGCGCAAGTCATCCCCGGACCCCCTGAGGTACTCATTGGGTTTGAGGAGCATACGGGTGAAGCAGGCACCGTTCGGGAGTTCCGCCCTGTGCAATCGCCGCATGGTAGAATTTTCCGGCCGCCTGTCGAAGATCAGCCGGTCTTCCACCTCGTTCTTTTTCACACTGAACAGGCCTCCAACCAGCAGCCTGCCATCTTGAGTCCTGGGCAGCTCACTCTCAGAAACAAGCGCCACCATGTGGGTGTCCAGCAGCTTCTGGATAACCGCTCTCTCCTGCTCTGGTGGAACACGATGGCACGCCACGGGCACCTCCTCCCAAACTTCTTCTGGAAGGCGCAAGCTCTCAAGGTTCTCAAACACAAAAGCCCTGCCTGGATCCAGCCACCGGGCCGGGTCAACCTGCCCTGCTTCATCAGGCACAGCCATCCGTTCAGCCTGCACCGGCAAAGCAACATTGTTGTCAGGAGTGGCCAGCGGCACAGCGCCGTCATAGCTCGGCATAGAGCAAGAAAGTGTCTCTAGGAGGGCATTAAGGTCCCCCCTCTTCCCATCAAAACTAAGGGTATCCCTTAATAAATCAGGGGAACAAAAAGCCATAACCTCGCCCAGCAACCTATCGGAGAAGAACCGCATGCCCCCCATGCTTCGATAGATTACTCGCGGCTCATGGCAGCCCCCGTCACCGTCCGGGCAACCCAGCACCACAAAGTTAGACCAAGCAACAAACTCATTAAGGAGACACTTGGCCCAGCCCTCTGCAGTCTGGATGCCGTAGACGACGCCCCGATGATGATACATCTCAGGGTAAGGAAGCATGCCTGGAAACAAAGGCTGTGTTGAACCGGACCGCTCCGGTAAGATACCTTGGGCACATCGAAACCACGTCATATACTGAACAAAACTTGAATTCTGACCGGGGAAGAGAAGCCCATCTGTACCACCTCCCCCCCCTTCATGCAGTCCACAGGCTAGGTTCACTTCTTCCGGCGCTCGGCGCCGTCTCCGTCCTCGGGGTCGTCCTCTGTGGCAGCCCCTCCATGACCGGTTTCCTTCATCCGCTTGCGGAGCTTCGACAAGGAGTCCATGTAATTGGTGATCACCGCCAGCTCGGTCTTGGTCCCGCCGAATTCTTTCTTCAACAGAGGATCCGGCAGTCCTGTTAGGAGCCATGCCGCGGCCCAATCCCCTTGCTGGAGAACCGATTGGATTTTCGCTTTGAGGTTTTGGCAGAGCTGGGCCGTCGCTGCTTCTGAGTTCCCGGCGCGGAGGTACTCGTACACCTGAGCATCCATCATGGCGCACCGGTAGATGCCCTTGAACTTGCCCCACGGCTGACGTCGCAGGTAGTCCTTGAGCGTCCACGCTTGGCCGGCCACTATCCCCAGGTCCTCGATCATCTCGCGCTCGAACTCCTGATAGA